ATGATAATGATGCTGCTGATGATGATGACGATGGTGATGTCGATGATGATGATGATGATGATGATGATGATGATGATGATGATGATGATGATGATGATGATGATGATGATGATGATGATGATGATGATGATGATGATGATGCTGATGCTGATGATGACGATGACGATGACGATGACGATGACGATGACGATGACGATGACGATGACGATGACGATGACGAGGACGATGACGATGACGATGACGATGACGATGCGATGAAGATGGATGATGATGATGATGATGATGATGAAGATGAAGATGATGATGATTGATGATGATGATGATGTGATGATGTTGATGTTTGATGATGGTGATGGTGATTGGATGATGGTGTGGTGATGGTGTGGTTGATGGTGATGGTGATGGTGTTGATAGGTGATGATGGTGATGGTGATTGTTGATGATGATGATGATGATGATGATGTTGGTTGATGGGTGAAGGTGATGTGATGGTGATGGTGCATGGTAGGAGGGGTTGTATGATGATGATGATGATGATGATGATGATGATTATGATGATGATGATGATGATGATGATGATGATGATGATGATGATAGAGGAGGAGGAGGAGGAGAGAGGAGGAGGAGGAGGAGGAGGAGGAGGAGGAGGAGGAGGAGGAGGAGGGAGGCGAAGGAAGGAGAGGAGGAGAGAAAAAGGAGGACGCGGGGCTGTCTCTTCAAAACGAGGACCCAACACCACAGGATGGTTGGGAAAAATATTCGCAGGTAGTGTCACCGGGCGTTTCGTTGGATAGCGCCGCTAGCGCCGCAGCCGTTCAGAGGGGCACCCAAAATTATCCAGTGACACATGGGTCACGTTCTGGGATACCAGACCTCACACCGACGCCCGATATGCCTTAAACTGGTCGCGCATTTCCCAACTTCACTACTCCCTGCAGACCACCAGTTCACGTCACGAACCGACTCTGACTGTCCGATTACGGGTGGAGGACATTACTTCTGACCGGGGGTGGTTGCAACTAAGACAGCCAGGCGCGCAGAGCAGTTGGGCTATCGGTTATCGCTTGACACGTTCAGCAGACCATTCCTCTTCGAGGCTTCTTCATTGTCTCTTCATCCCACGCATGCTGTAGGAGAGTTTGTTCCTGGAGTTGAATGTCAAGCATGTTGTTTTGCATTGTTTGTTGCTCAGTACCAGTATCGGTATCGTCCTCCGCATCCTTCCTCACTCCACTCCTCATTTCCCTCCGGCCTTCCCTCCTGTCCCGCGAGCCATTGTTTGCTGAATTCCGCCGACCACGTCGCTCACAGCACATCCACTGGCCAGGTTGGTTGCGCACGCAGTGCTCCTGTTGTGTTGATATAACATACAGATTGGAATGTGCCTTGAGAGTCTGCGTCCGACCTGTTTGTGCATTATGATTCGTCTTGCTCGTCCTACCATTTCTCTCTCAAGGCCCTTCGCTTCCAGACGATTGGCCATACCCACTCATGCTCAGGCGCATTCATGCCTGAGCGTTCAAAAGTAAAGGCGCTAAAAAAAATGCACACATCTGGATCCCCGCGTCGATCGAAGTTATTGATCTTTCTCCTCCTCCTCCTCCTCCTCCACATTCCTGCCACGAGCAGCGGGATGAAAATTGCAAGACTCGTCGTGAGGCCGCCCAGAATCTTCAGAAGGCCCCCCGCCCCGCGGTCGTGTTGTACGGTATCCCCGTCGGCGGTCGTCCATATGCGGCCACTCCTCCTCCTCCTCCTCCTCCTCTTCCTCCTCCTCCTCCTCCTCCTTGTGAACCCTGGCACGCTTGCGCACGCCAGAGCGCGCGTGTTAAACTCCTCCTCCTTGTCCCCGTCGGCGGTCGTCCATATGCGGCCTCTAGCCCCTCCAAGGTCGGCGCCCAGTTGCCGCCAGAGTGTGGGACGTAACCCTCTCGCGGAGACTGCGTTGCCGCACTGTTCCCCATGCCCTCCCTGAGCGAGCGGGGGGGAGGTCATCGAGCACGAGAGGTTCATCGAGCTGGTCAGGGCCAACGGCCAGCTCGCTGTCACGAAAGAGGACCTCGAGGCCCTCCGCGACGAGATGCGCGGATTCAGGCGCACGGGCCTGCCCGCACAGGCCGTCCTTCGAGTGTATGTATTCGGGGGGCTCTCGGATCCCGACCTATTCCAAGAGGTTCGTTGCTTCAAGAATCGGCGGCTCCCTACTCGCACCCCTTGTTACTTGGCCGGTCCGGAGCCCAGTCTGATTTGAATCGCCTTCCTGCCTCACGTGTGTCCCCCAAACCTCTTCCGAACTGCCTGCGCTCGCCAGCGGGCGGACTCCTGCCTCCACGCCGCACGTCACGGGTGAGAGCAGATGGCGACAAGGACGAATGAGAAGGCTCGGAGGTGCAGGACGCGGACGGCTGGACCAGGGCAGCTGCACGAGAGATGCTGGGGAATGACGAGGACGGCGGGACGAGGGCAGCTGCAGCCGCTACAGTCACCGCCAGGGTCCTGCAGCGGCGACGAAGGCTGGCGCCTGTTAGGCCACGCTGGTGCGCAAAGCAGGAGGGGTTTCGTTCGGGCGCTCATCGCGGTGGCTTCGGCGATCTCGTCCCCCTCGCTCCACCAAAGAGCATCGCCGGTTGCGAGGTGCCGCATGGTCGAGGTGGAGCAGAGCATCGAGAACATCCGGACCGTGTGATCCGTCTGCGCTCCTCCTGCCCGCCCCCCCCCAGAGCTCCCCTGTCCCCACGCGCTGCGCCGCAGAAGAGTGCAGGTGAGAGCTGCGTGGAAGAAGAGAAGTATGGACAGAGAAAGGATAACGAAGGACGCAGAGAACAGGAGGTGGGGGACAGATGTTGGAGGACGTCGCACGCCTGGGAAGTTGAAGGAGGTGGCCTCAAAGCAGCATCGAGCCAGCGGAGGCGGGCGCCACCCTCAAGATGCATCCCGACACTGAGCCATTGTTTCGCGACAGAAACTGAACGTCTGCACTAGAACGTGAGCGCGCGCGTAGCGTGCGCGTGGTAACTAGTTATTTGCTCCTGTCCGCAGCGGGCTCTGCTCTTGAATTCAGGCGACAACGGCGTAGCTCTCCACATGTCGTCCCATGTCTTCCAGCAGAGAGCCACGCCTCGTTCTTTACCAGCACGTGCCGCCGTCTATCCTGATGCTCGCGGCATCCATTGGATGCCCGCCAGCAACGGTAGCGCGTAGGGAGTCGTGAAAAGAGGAGGATCGGCAGTAGCACGAGGAGGAGCCAGAGGCGGAGGTGTTCGGCAGCCAGCGCACGCACATGATATAAAGGCAGAGTTGGACCCCATGAAGTGGGACTCAATTCACTGAGCAGCTTCGAAAAGGGACCTGCTCTGTGTGCAGCTCGAGCCGCTGGCACCACGATCGCAGGTCGCACGGAAGTTGTGAGGCTGGTGGCGGAGGCACCCTGCAAAAGCCGGGCGTCCGAAGGGAAGCTTGTATTGGGGCGCAGAGCCAGAGACAGACACAAGACAAGCAGCAAGTAGGTGGCGCCCGCAGTTGCTATTCGAGGCCTGCGTGAGATTGATGCGAGGAAGGAGCTGCAGCGGAACGGGAATGGCATGAGCGTGCATTTGTGTTCGTGTTTTTACTCGTTGTGTTGCCGATCCGGGCGGGCCCTCGCACCCCTCCTCCCCCCTCCCCATGCAGTAGATTTTGGCTGTTTTTGGCGTCTGCTTCAAGCAGGTGGAGCCTCCCCACAGGAAGCTCTGTTGCAAACCGTCGCACTATGCAGAGGTCTTGGACCAAACCCCATGCCCCCTCCCCCGTCCGCCCAATGTCGAAAGGCCGAATAAGAAAATGTTCACCATTCGAGGCCTGCCGTGAGATTGATGCGACGAAGGAGCTGTAGCGGAACAGGAATGGCGTGAGCGTGCATTTGATAAGTGACTATATTGACCCGCGCGCGCGCCTGGAGGGCCAACAGGATTTCCAGTGTTTGCCATGGCATGTCATAGAAAGTGCAGGGCTCCAGATGAGTTGCAATGAGGTTTGGATTCCTTCGTGCGCCTTGGCCGTCTGCTTGTATCGAATGGGAGTGTTCGAAATTACAAGAGTTGTCTGCAACACTCGCTTAGGATTGCATTTTACCTGATATAGCGCACATGATGAGAGTGTTCCCCATCGTGGCGCGTCCAGTGGCCTGCTCTCCGTTGGTTGCAGTCTGTGCATCATATGTGTTGTTGCCCGAGGCAGAAGTTCGGCCGCCGATGTTACCCGCCGGGTGACATTGCAGTGGGACGATGAGGATGGAGACGCCGCTCCGTTGGAAAATGATATGATCATGTGTTCGCTGTCTCCCTATGTTGCTTCTTGCTCGCCTCCACATCCTGTCTGTTTTCCCGTTTCGACTCACTTTCAGCCTCCAGTTCCATAATTTTCCCCGAATAGCGGTTGAGCTTGAGGGTTCTCACTTCTGGTCAAAGGAACTGGGCCTGTCTGGCGGTCTGGCGACTATGTCGTCGCCGTCGCTGCCCCGTCGCCGCCTCGTCACCGCCCGTCGTCTGGGCCTGTCTGCCGATTTGGCGGCGATGTCGCCGCCGTCGCCGCCCCGTTACCGCCTGGTCGCCGTCCGTCGTCTGGGCCTGCACGTCGGGTCCGCCGTCTTCTTGTTGCTGTGTCCGCCCCGTCACCGTCGCCGCCCCGTCGTTGCGTCGTCGTTGCTTTGCATTGCTTTCCATTGCTCTGCATTGCTTTGCATTGCTCTGCGCTACGTTTCATTGCTTTGCGCTTCGTTGCATAGCTTTGCGCTACTTCGCATTGCTTTGCTCTACTTTGCACTGCATTACATTGATCCGTATTGGTTTGTTTGCGTTGCCTCGCACTGCATTACATGATTTGCATTGGTTCGCTTTGCACTACATGATTTGCATGCTTTGCGTTGATGCTGATAGGAGTTCATTGCTTTGCATTGCAAGGTTGTGTTTTGCATTGTTTGCCTTCGCTGCATCGCGTTGCGGTACTTTGCATCGCATTACATGGATTTGCGTTGCTTTCTAATCATTGCTTCGCACTGGTTCACATTGATTTACATTGTGTTGCAATGCTTTGCTCTGTAGCAAACAACCACAACAACAAAAACGATTCTTGACAAATTGCTGACGATGAATTTCTTGGGGGTCTCGCGCCTGTAAGAGATTGTAGCAAACGCACTGCCGAATCAATCCCGCTCCTGTAAGCAGCGTTTCAGAGGTCGTACGAGATCCCGACGCCGCGCATGATGTTGTCTCGTCAATGCTTCTGCCACAAGTTTCCGGAACATATCTTCAGCAGCGATCCTCCTCATTTGATTGTTCGCTTGCTGGAGGGTTGTCAACGTTGACGCATGGAGCAGATCCGGAATATTGTTTGGAATACGCGTTTGTGCAAGCCTTTCTGCCACGTCGCACAGAGATCGTACGCAATATAGTCGTCCATGCATGTTTTGTAATACTTGCATCTTCCACCCCATACTCCAGCACTTGGCCCCCGTCGGCATCGACGAAGCACCCCTGCAAAGAGTTGTCTGTCCAGCTGCACTTTGGAGTGCGGTCGGAAATTTGTGAAATCTTCGGGGAATCGTTCGGAGCGGGATCGCAGAGTTCGTCAAGTGTTTCTTGTATCCTTGTGGCGAACCCCCGGGAGCTCAGCAAACGGGCTGCATGAATGATTGAGTTCGCCCACTGTGATCAATCCCATGGCTCGGTCCACCTTTGATTGTTCCGATCGCTGTCGTCGGGTGGATGGGTTGTTTCGTCTTTGGCCGCAATGCAATCATCCCATTCACCATTGTCGAACCAAGCCACACGTTGTTTCAGTTCCGGTTCTCCCATGCCCCCTTCAAGCGAAGTATTATGGAATAGGAAACGAGAGAGCAATGTGAATATCGTAGCACTTCGCAGCTTAGGGGTCATGGTCCAGGACTTAGGGGTCATGGTCCGGGACTTAGGGGTCATGGTCCGGGACTTAGGGGTCATGGTCCGGGATTTAGGGGTCATGGTCCGGGATTTAGGGGTCATGGTCCGGGATTTAGGGGTCGTGGTCCGGGACTTAGGGGTCATGGTCCGGGACTTAGGTCCGGGACTTAGGGGTCATGGTCCGGGACTTAGGGGTCATGGTCCTGGACTTAGGGGTCATTGTCCGGGATTTGTTCATGGTCCGAGACTTAGGGGTCATGGTCTGGGATTTAGGGGTCATGGTCCAGGATCGTAGGGGTCATGGTCCGGGATTTAAGGGTCATGGTCCCGGATTTAGGGGTCATGGTCTGGACTTAGGGGTCATGGTCCGGGACTTAAGGGTCATGGTTCGGGACTTAGGGGTCATGGTCCGGGACTTCGGGGTCATGGTCCGGGACTTAGGGGTCATGGTCCGGGACTTCGGGGTCATGGTCCGGGACTTAGGGGTCATGGTCCGGGACTTAGGGGTCATGGTCCCGGATTTAGGGGTCATTGTCCGGGACTTAGGGGTCATCGTCCGGGACTTAGGGGTCGTGGTCCGGGACTCCGGGGTCATGGTCTGGGACTTAAGGGTCATGGTCCGGGATTTCAGGGTCATGGTCCGGGATTGAGGGGTCATGGTCCGGGATTTAGGGGTCATGGTCCGGGTCTCAGGGGTCATGGTTTGGGACTCCGATCATGTGAGAATGTGCTTGCCTTGAAAGGTGGTTCTCGACCGGAATGCTACAGAACAAACTAAGGAGCAATGCCAGGGGTCCGGGGGGTCCGGGAGGTTCTGGTTCCGAGGGTCAGAAACACTTCAGCGTGATGAGCAAATTCGACGTCGCGCACCGCAGAGTTGTATTCATCATATTCGACACGGACAACGGCAGCTCCAAGGACGCCGATATCGACAACCTCATTCGCATTTTGGGAGACGATCCCGCTGGTCAACCTGATCATTGTTGTAGCCGTCACGGAACAGCCAGACGATTACCCAGGTAATGCCAGAGAAGGCAAGCGAATTTCTTGGAAAGGCCAAGACAAAATCGATGACGTCATCCACAAAGAAGTCGATCACAATCAAACCGGTCACGACGCAAGTGAACCTCACCCGGAATTGGGCCCTGCGGACGGCCAGCGAGTCGATCAAGAAAACGCTTGAAGGCCAAAACTCTGAGATCGATTTTCGGGCACGTTTGGTCCGGGTCGACGACGCTACAATTTTTTAGCAACTCCCCGGGGACCTGGAAGGAACCTTTAAAAGGGCTTTTTCTAACCTTCGGCTTCCGTAGGGAGTCGGGGGGCACACAAACGTTTTGCATGTTTCGTGTTCCGCCCACGATTTAACCGTTAGTGAGCGGCCTCCGGGTCTTGTCGGGCGTCTTCGTCGTAGAGGACCTCACTCTCGCGAGTTCTTCACGCGACGTTTCAACAAACAGACGTTATTATCTTCCTCCTCGTACTCGTTGTGTCCCCGTATTTTCCCGTTTCCTCTACCTCTCCTTTTCCTTTCTGCGGCAATCGCACTTGACAAACAATTTTAGCGGCTGCATGTGAAGCTCAATCCGCCTCGTGTTCCGTATCGTTGTTCGATAATTATGATTCCACTTTTCTGCATTGAACGTCGAAGGCTTTATACCATTTGCAGCCGAAGTCGGCAGCACGTATTCTCTTGTCCCACCAGCCTTCTGGGCGAAGGTGGTCTAACGATGTCTATTTTTCCTCTTCCGAAAACTCTTCTTCCCCTCGG